TGTGTGTGTGTGTGTGTGTGTGTGTGTGTGTACCTATATGTCTCCTTGTCATTTCAACAGTTGCGTTCCTGTTAACGTTGCTGAGAAGCCCTAGACAGAATCGTTCAGAGTTGGAGGGGTCGGTGAAGCCGTCGACTGTCAGAGATGGTTGTGAGGCGTGGAATGTCTCTCCAACCCGCTGGTTTAGTTCATAGTAGGCTATAGAGCACCAGAATGCTGGTTCACTGTAGGTGACTGGCTGAAGGTCTGGAAAAAAAAAAAAAAAAAATAGAACAATTGTACATGTGCTTCTTTTGAAATCCTTGTCTTGTCTTATTCTCAATGCGGTCAGAAAGTCTGAGACCACCTTCTGATTCTCAAACTGTTGGGTCCCACTATACATCCAGCATTGACTTACAATAATGTAAACATACAGTCCACACATGAAGCAGGCTTACCCAGGCCATGACTGACAGGTGACAGAGTGCTTGGTGACATTTCTGCTGGTGAGCCTGTGAGAGTAAAAAGATAAAGATAATGAAACACATTATCTGTATTACATTTGATATAGATTGTGTAAATGAATCCACAAGTGTGGATGGATAGATAGTGGACAGCCAACCACAACACTAGTCTACCTGATTCCATACTTTGATTCATCTGCTGGTCGCTGGTCTCTCCATCTTCACTGATGTAGCCGGGTGGAGGGGTCTCTATACACACAAACATGAAATAAGATTACATTTTACATATAATCAACCTTCTATCAAAAATAAATCTAGCTGGCTTGTCTGACAGATTGTGTAATGAGTGAAATGAAACCATAAAGGTTTTACTTCCGGTCCTGCATACAGACCTGGTATATAGTTGTTTGGAGGGTCTATGCCAGCAGGGAAGTTGGTGTTTTCAGGAATGGAGTTTGTAAAATCATCAAGAGGTGGAAGCTCTGTCAGAATCTCTGTATGGCGTGGCACCAACACTGGAGGCAGCACTGAAGAGAAAAAATAATGACGTTAACAAAGGCAGCACAAACTGAATGAAACTAAAATCTCAACACTTCGGGTTGCTATGACAAACATCACTTGATGGAGGGCACCTTGTACTCAGCATCACACAGACACAAAATTCTTAAGGGTTATTACCTGGCGTCTCCACTCTCTGGTAATGGTAGGGATTGACACACACTTCATCCTTCTTGAGGTTGAAGGCGTACTGGCAGGTATCGATGGCCCTCAGCTCATGGTGGCTGTGAAGGTCAGGCCATCTCCAGAGGCGGCAGTAGATGACGTGCGGCAGGCCTTTGCGATGAGACACCTGAAGACGCCCGTCCAGAGACCTGAGAGGGTTGGGAGTGGTTTATTTGTGAAATGTAGGCAGAGAACTTCCAAATAATTGTAAACAGGAGTGATTTAGTCCACTAACTCGCCAACCAAGAGTACAGAATGCTGGTAGTTTTTTAGAGTGACCTCTAAAAAACAAGTAGTTTGCAGAATTCATTAATCTTTTCTGTTTCTTTGTTCAATAAGGTTGTAAATTACGAGCCAAGTTTTACAAATATTATATTTTACAAATATCTCTATTACTAAAAAAAAACATTTCTATTACAATCTCCATGAAGGTGATTAAATAAAACAAAGGAAGACTTTATTTCATCTAATATCATGGACAGTGACTATGACAAACGTGTGCTCAATGTAATGAATCTTCCTTAAACCTGCTGATTTCAACAATTATTGTAAATAATTTCTTATTGTTGTTACCCATAATACACATTCCTGTGTAACCAGCAATAAAGAGACGTACAACAATTGTTGACCTGTGAAATTGTGTGCATGTGAGTGTATTCACCTGCTGTGGTCAGGGTATCCATACATGCCTGCAGAGTCCCACTGCTCTATCGTGTGGCCTGAGCCTAGACCCCATAGATCTGAGCAATTGCTACAGACAGACACACACGCATACGCACACAAACATGCATACACATGTACAGACACAGGACAAGTGCAAAAAGGATAAAAATAAAAGCAAAAGATGATAAACATGAGATGTTTCAGTCCAAATTAGTAGGATGAAATCACAAATATTCACAGTTGGTCTCTTATTGACATAAAGTAACCATCTTTATTCAGTAAGAGACTACACGTGGATGGTAGATGATTAAATGACAATTTACAAATCGGACAGTGATGTGGTGCAGTCAGGTGATGCAGAGGGACAAACTGATTTAAATTTACAGCAGCCCTTTTACACTTTAGCTGAACATTGATACGAGGGGGAGATCATTTTCGATTTCTGTTTTCCTGCTCTTATGTGACCGTACTCGCTCTGCAGAAACACAGAAAATAATAAACGTCAGATAATTTTACTTTTGGGGGCTTAAAGTGTTCAGCAAGCCCCTGCAAAGCCTGACTGCAAATATTATGTGAATTAGACACATACATATGATTCATATTTCTGCATATCATTTCTACACCATGAGGACAAGTGTGATGATTCACAGATTATATATGCATCTGAACAACAATGGTATGTGAATGAGGAAATAAAGAAATTCAGTAGACGTGACAACAGAAAAAAACAAATGTGTGTATACAAACGCGAAGTATGTGTGACTTAGGAAAGCGCATGTCACAACTGTTGCTAAGATGTTAATTAGAGCTCCTGTGTTTCCTCTTAGAGGTGAGGAAGAGGAGAGGGAGACTCTGTTGTATGATCATAGCGACCCGACAGCCAGACCTGCCTGTACGAGTCCTGCTATCTGACCACTTATCAGCCTACCCAAAGAATTCTACAAATACAAGCTCTGAGTATACTATCTCCAGATGCAAGCTAATGTTGTGCCTTCTTCCTGTCTTACTTAAAAAGTCACCAGTTCAATCACAACAGTGTCTGCTCTCTGTCCGAGCAAGACTCTTGATGCTCATCTACTGACCTGCAAGTAACTCTAAAAAGCCAGAATTGTCAAATTGAATTTGTTTTAGTTATCAGCTTAACTGGATTATTTGCAAAACATCATGAGGATATTTTCACTCCAGAGCCAATGTATACAGTTCTGCAAAACCGCTATCTTCCTCTGAGGTCATTTGGGTTCCCATGCCTGCTATCTCGAGACACCGATGAGTTGCTGTGCTCTTCCTCTTTCAAATTTCCTATCTCCACTCCAACTGAAATCTATAAAGCCTTATCTCTTCAGAATCTTCCAAACACAATTCTGACAGCCTCCACCAGCCGACAAATACAAGAACTATGAGAACAGAGTGATCTATCTCAGATTTCTATCAACCTTACTTCTGCATTCAGGGTCGGGAAGTGAGCTGTGCATCAAAAAGCTGGTAACCAAAATCTGCTTAGTACTTGCAAATTGTATATCCAGACCGGTGTCTCTTCCTCCTGTAGACTGAGGACAGCAGCAGTATTCAAGCAAATGTCTAACAAACATCAGAGCCACTTCAGAGGCTATCTACTCTACATTCCTCAGAGCGAACAAACAGGGAGGCCTGCATCTTTCCATTTGTTTCCTATCTGTGAAGAATTAACCTGAAAAAACAGAAATCTTTTAATCAGGGACTTTTCTCTAAGGGAATTAATTCTATAATTAGTCTTTTAGGGTTTAAGACAGCAAAGGGAGATGGAGAAAGAGAAAGAAATGAGAGAAAGGGCAGATTGTGTGGAAATATTTGACAGGGGAAGCTCATAAAATCTGCACAGAGCCGCCGAGTTATCTCCCATTTCTTCTGATCCTCGGCCGATGATTGACGTTAATCTCCTGCTTTCCATGGGGTCCCCTTAACATTGCCACTATTGTCATGGAACAGTTCCGTCTGTTCTGGTGACTTGGCTCATGTAACTTATCATGCAACACTAGGAGAAGTCTGAACTGAAAGACACATGAGCCATTCAGGCCAAGTATCCACAGCATTAGCAGGTTTGGGTGCACAAAGGTTCTGACAGAAAAAGCTGAACAAAATACATTTACTGAAAGTGTATTTACTCTGTAAAGTGAGTTGTTCCAGTGAAAAGGTACAGATGCAAAGCAATTTGACATCAAGATGTTCTGTTTTATGCACTGTGTCTGTTTCACCTTGAAAACCTTTGCAAGGACTGAGATTATATAAAAAGAACCTTTCCAATAGCTTCTTGTCATTCATCAGCACAGCTATACTGCTTTGTTAATTAAGTGTTAATTCTTTCTTTAATTCTTTCTTCATTGTATTGCTTTGGAGGTCTCAAGACGTCTCCAAATTCAACCTTCAATAGTCGGTGTGATGGTTTGTGCCTCAAAGCAAGAACATTATAATGTCATGCTCAAATGTTCTTGGCCATCAGCCATTCAGACTGCCTTGTTTCTTTGTCTCCTTTCATAAAGATTTTGTTTACTACATACTGAGCCTAATAAATGCTGGCTTCCCAGTTCTTCGTAGATTTTACTTGCAAACAGTGTTGCTCCAACTGCATTTCAGAGCTGGTTCTGGTACCAAGCATTTCATTTAAAGGAGTGGCAGATGCTCAGTACCAATCCAAACACTTAGTCACCCGTGCTGCTGTCAGGAATTACACATTTGTGTGAAGCAAATGTGTTTCATCAATAAGACACACCAGCACTTGTCTCATTACAATTCTGCATTTCCCTTAAAACAGTAGATGTTCATTACGCCAAACAACATTTTTGAAAAAGTCATTGTATTTAAAGAAGCTTAAAAAGCACAAGTGCATCACTACACTTCAATCTATTTCTGTTATAAGCTCTCAACTCCTTACATTCCTCTTGAATAAATTCATCTGATCTCGATCTAATAGGCAATGTCAACCTAATCAAAGCAACAGGATGAGAGGTTACACAGAAACTAAGATGCCGTGGTTGCAAAAGATGTAATCAGAGCCTGTCACACCCCCAGCGACTTATCAGATCAAGATCCAACCATCAACTGCACACAGTGTAAATGCATACATATCCTGCCTATAGTTTGGTTTGCATCACGTGTTGGACATCTGTTTCCCCCCAATCAAGTTTCACTTCTGCTGCCTTGGAAACATACAGCACAGGCGATGGGGAAGTGGACCCACCGTTGCCCAAGTGAAACTTGTCTTTTTTGCGAGCCTGTGGCTGCCTGTCAGCCTCCTGCTCACTTTCATGTGTGTTGACACACCTCAGCGAGCTGATCTGTATTGATGGTGTTGTGGTACCAGTGCAAACAAAGACAGCGGATGTGTGAATGCGAGCACAGCTCCGAGTGTGCTGAAACAAGTTGTGTTTAGAATCGTATTGGAAATCAATTAATAATTTTAAGACATTTGTCTAACAAAGCTGTTGCAAGTTTGGTGCTTTCAGTTTCTCACAATGTAAGACTTTAATGCTTTTCTGTTTTAACTCACATTAAATCCTGGGTTTGGATAAAATAAGCGTTTGGGAAACATCATCTTTGGCTCAGAGAAAAAAGATTTTTTCTGCAAGTTTAGAAATATTTAAGACTGAACAATTTCTGAAAAACAATTAGTGGCAGATTAATCTAAACTGTTTATAACAATCTTGGTTTTGGCAAGTGTACACAACTGTGTATATGTATGCATTACCTAAATATGTGACAGTGACCATTTTGCTTGTGTCTACTCAAAGAGTTACAGATGAGAGCCAGAGAAAGAGAATAGAGTTGCATGCATGTGTCCTCATCTCACCTGGGTATAGTGACACACTTTGTGTTGCTGTTCTGTGTGCTGATGGCCTTCTCTAGCTCATCCAGTTGCCCTGTCTTTTTCAGCTTCTTCACCAGGCTCTTCACTGCTTTTTCGCACCATTTCTCCTCCTGTCCTCCTCCATTCTGCTCCCCGACTCCACCTATTCCTCCTCCTGCTCCCCCGCTACTTGCTGGAGTCTTCTTCCATCCCAGGAGACGTTTCACCACCGGGGGAGTGAAGGGAAGGATGGAGGACATGGTGGCCGATGTGTGTGTGTGTGTGTTATGTGTGGACCAAAGTGCGTTTTGATGCCTAACTTAATCAAAAAAGAGGAGAAAGGGGGTCAGGGGAAGAAGGGTGATACAGGTGCTGGGTTGCTGACTGAATTCAAGCTGGAGTAAGACGGCTATATACAAAGACTTATAATAGAATAAAGTCTAATCAGATCTAAGGGGAGTGTTTGGAAATGTCAGATGGAAAATTGCAAATCATTGGGAGCAGGGAGTAGCAGATCCAAAGAAACCTAAAAAAACAGGAAAAACAGAAAGCACAACACAGCATTAGTATAACATTAATTCCTGTAATGATGAGACCAATTGTGCCCACACGTCCAAATTCATGCCCAGAGCCATGACTATGACTATCCATCATAGTCCCCTGCTGCTCACTCTCCCACCATGTGCCAAACTGTATGTCAGCCCGGCTGGCCGTCATGGCACTACACACCCTGTGAACACTTGTGAAGAACTAACCGTTCGTGTTTTATCTTCGTGTTCTATCTATCTCTGATGAATACACTCTACCGCTGGTGCCCACTAAAAGCCGTGCACCTGTGCTTCTCTGTCTGTTGTCTTAACCACACTCAAACACGTGCATCGTCTTGTAACGGTTGCAGCACCATCACAATTACAACTAATCAAGTTTCAGTTTGCTGTGTGTTTTTGAAATATGTTGTGGCAGTTAAAAGGAAATACATTTTACTTTTATTTACAAAAAGACCTGTTGTCACATGTAATCAAACTCTTGGGTCAGAGTGCAGTTAAAGAACTTTGACATAACTAATAATAGTCAGACTTAGGGCAGAGGTCTAAATTTGACTGTCTACTGCTTTACCATCTTAAATTAGACTACGACTGTGGTAAATTAAGACACATGGCTGATTGTGTCATGGAATCACTGTCAGCTACTGAGTGAGTGAAGAATTTGTACATTACCACCCAATCACAGTTCTGGAGGCTAATTTTTAAGGCTTCAAATAAAAATGCCACTTTTTAGTTGGAATACCTTACCTGCATTAGACTCTTTTTACTCCAAATAGAGGGTGTGGACGAATGTGTGTCAAAATAATTTTTTTCTCAATTTGACCAACGCTATTCAAGACATCTTAGAATGTATAGTCATGGTCAAGATTGATTTTTACAGCGAATAGAAGTATTCATGTCCAAGGTGACAAATCTATGTCAATATCTTTAAACCTAAACTAATCCTATAGTAAACCTATCCTATTATTGAAACCACTGTTCGCCCTCGCAAAGAAAAGCCGAGCAGTGTCCAACAGAGTTAAACCCTGGTCGGGAGCTTAAAGCCTTACCAAATGAAACGTGCTGCTCTATTCACACAAACTGAGCTGTCCTTCAAACTATCAACCACTTCGGCCACCGTTTTTAGATATAAAATTGTGATGAGTGAAATGTGGAATTCAGTGGCCACTTTGACTCTGACTTCTACGTGTAACCTGAACCTAGACTATATTATAGTTTTCACTTTATGGCCATGACCTATTTCCGGCCTTATGTGGAAACACAGTAGAAATTACCAACAAATTAAATTTGAAAACAAATCTTTCCCCCAGGATCCAGTCCTCTAAAAACGGAAACAGTTTGTGTCTGTGTGTCTGTGTGTCTGTGTGTGTGTAGATTAGTTCAGCAGATTATTGATCACCCAGACTTTAAATAAATAAAGACTCAACGACTCAGTAATGCAGATTTTTCGACTCAGCTGACAGGGAGGAAGGGATAACTATCCTCAGCATGTTACCCTGAAAGTCCAAGCTCCTTCTAAGAATTAATTTTGCAGGCTTAACCCATGAACTGCTTACTGTTAGTGCAAGTGTATGACTGGCTTTTAGAGGTAGTCAGTCACTACACATAACACCACCTGCAGTAGCTTGATATAATTGTCTAAAAATTCAAGCATGCTATCCTTTACATGATCCCAGCATAAGAGATTTAGGATGGGGAAAAGTGCAATATTGCATGTTAATCAATATTCCAATTGCAAACCTTGTTTGTCCTCTCTTTGATGGAGGTTGATGCATGAAGGAGATCTCTGAACATATTCTCTAAAACTGCAAAACATGACGGCACAAGGAGCCTTTCAAAGTAAGCACAAAGTCTCAATGTGTTTGTCCCTGCAATGGTTTGATATTGTCTGGAAAGCAAAGCATTCTGTGTTGCCAGCATAAGAGAGACAGGCTGGAGGGAAAAAGTACCGTTACTCCATGTTGATCAATACTTGCTGAGTGCATAAAGAAGATCTCTGAAAAAGCTGGTGGCGTGTGATATTGTCTAAAAATCAAAGCACGTTTTTTTCACTGTCATGCCAGTATAAGAGACATAGGCTTGGGGAAAAGGACAAAGTTAAAAGGTAGATCCATATCTTAAAGATCTTAGTCTGATCATAGTATCGATTACTGCAAAAGCTGGTGGCATAAAAATGTTATTCGGTGGGAGCCTTAAAAGTGAGGATACAGTCCCTGCAGAGGTTTGATATCGTCTAAAAATCCAAACACGTTTTTCAGTGTCATGACAGCAAAAGTGACACGCTGGGGAAGAGGGACAATAGTGCAAGTTAATCAATATCTTAAAGAAGATGTCTGATCACAGCATCTAAAACTGCAAAAGCTGGTGGCATAAAAAACCATGTTATTCAGTGGGAGCCTTTGAAAGTGAGGAGAAAGTCCCTGCAGAGGTTTGATATCGTCTAGAAATCTAAAACTGTCATGACAGCATAAGATACATTGGTTTGGGGGGGGGGACAATTATGCAGGTTGATCAATAACTTAACAAAGATGTAATATGATCAGACACGAAGTCTCTAGAACCGAAAGAGCTGGCGGCACAGAAATCGTGTTACACGGTGGGAGCCCTTCAAAGTGAGGAGAAAGTCTCTGGGAACAAAAAGCACAAAACGTGCTGATACCAACACAGTTCATATCAGTCTCCTGCACAGTCCTCACACCGGCTCTCTGGGCCTTTGTGCGACAAAACAAGCGAACACTGTTGAGTCTGTAGCGTCGTGTCTCCACTGTGGGAAACTGTGTTGTTTGGGTTTGCTCTCCTCCCGAAAATCAAACACATAACAAGCGCACGGGGTTTTTTTTTTTTTGTTGGAAGAATAGGCTAACGCTAGCAGCGGGCGACTACGGAGCGAGCAGCCCGGGGGAACGTGGACTTTAACAAGGCAGAAAAGGGGGCGACTAAGCCTCCCTGCTAGGTGTCATTTAACTGTGCTAAAGATGTCCAGGTTTCTTTTGTCTGGAAATGACTTGCTACTGCCTCCTCTCCTCCTCTCTCCTCCTCCTCCTCCTCCTCATAGCCTCCAAAAAAAAAAAAAAAAAAAAA